TGACTGAGACAGTCTTAAGCGTTTACGGATTGTTCTCTGCCATCAGCCTTACTCCTACTTCAGCTCTTGTGTTTACGCTCGGCGAATCCAGAATGCCATCGGACAGTGTGAAGATATTTAAGAAATTACGCCCGAGTTTAGCTTCCTTACACCAAAAGCTAAACGCTATGGTTCTCTCTTACTCCTTGCGCCAGGCTTACTCCATGCATTGTAGACGACGCATCTGAAGTACGTTGTAAGACTCGACCGCAAGCAACACTGAACGTATGCGAGGACGTCATGTGGCGCGGCTAATTGGCAGTCGCGACAAACGGAATTAATGGTGTAAAGAGATGACAGGATGAACTTGCCTGGACAAAAGAAAAGGGTTATTTTCGCTGATAAAAACATACGCTACGTATCAAACGGCCATCAAGTCTACTTCGAGGAGACATGCTTTGCGTCGTTCAACTTGCAACTCACTTGGTACTCGCGATTTCGACTCGAGAAACGACGGAGAAGCGCGCGCGTGCGATACTCCACCTGCTGCGGCGTCCGGCGAGGCAGGCGGCTGCAGGCGGCCGTCGATCAAATCATCCTTGAAGATCCTCGGATCTACGCGACACACCTGTGACGGTCGACCGCGAGATAAATCGCGGGACGTCGCAGTGCTAACATTATTGTAGTCGAGGGTGTAAATAACAATTTTCGGAATCAGCTACGCGTCTCACATCGCTCAGTGCGCTCGAAGATAGGCTCGGCCATGGTGTAAAGATACAAGGTGAAGCAATTTGGTGGATGCGCAGCGTCAACCAATCAGAAGTGGCCCAAACCAGAGAGAAACCTGAGAGCGGCCATGCCGGCGTTTTGCTTGTTACCGTTTTCGCTCGACTGATTCCAGCGCTTGATGCCCATTTTCATTTTTGGAACTATTCCGCTACACCCATTTTCAAGTACTGCCAAAAAATAAAAAAAAATAAAAAATAAAAAATCAAGTACTGCCGATAAAGGCTGTGTTCTGCCGAAGTTAGCTAAGAATAAGCGCTTTATCTCTTCTTATTCTTATTATAGGCACTCGGCTCATAAACAACTGAGCCGACACGGCCACGGCGAACCTTTAGTCCTCCACAGTAAACCCACGTCGAACCAATATTCTAAATAGTTAGACAATGCAATGGCCCGGTAACCGGTCCACGCGCGAGATGATGCAATCCCGCAAGATCAAAAATTAATCTTCCGTCGGAAGACGTGTGAACCACCCAACGGCCCAGACGGGACTATAAGCGCTTTATGCTGATTGGATAGATCTAGAAGAATAGCTCTATTTCAGCACAGATCTGAAAGTATAATCCAATGAACGCAAAGCGCTTAGCAAGCGCAAACTTCTGCTGGACACAGGCAAAGTCTCCACTTGGTGATCGGAATTAAGTTGGCGCTGGGAGTTCATATTTTCGTATAAAACCTAGCTCAAACGATTGCTCCCGAATTGCTTCATTCCACAATTGCTCCACTTTTAAAATCAATAGTTTTCGAAATATTAACAAAAAATGTAAAATTTTTAATTTTCAATAAAAAAACATTTCTAATAGCTTTGTGCAATTCTAACCAGCATCAAATGATTGCTCCTTCATTGCTCCATTAGAATCCACAATTGCTCCCCTTTTAAAATAAATAGTTTCTGAAATATTAACAAAAAACGTAAAATTTTTAATTTTCAATAAAGAACTTTTCTAATAGCTTTGTGCAATTCTATCCAGCATACAACGATTGCTCTTTAATTGCTCCTTATTGCTCCATCATTATTTTAATTATTTATTGCATATAATTTATAATAGAAAAACTAATACTGACGACGCCGCCACCTATCGGCCGCCTATCGTAATTACATGGCTCTGCAGCATAAACGGCGGAAATATTCAAACGAAACGTAACAGTTCTTTCGTTTACAACTAATCTCAAAGAGTCTAATCGACATTTCCCATTGATTTTTGCTTAGAACAATTGTTCCTCGGTAGCTCCATTGAAATGATCAATAGCTCCATGCGTATAATTGATATTCTTGCAAAAAAACCATTCATTTCATTGCAAAAACATATTTCCCACTGTCTTCTGCAAGTTTATTCTACATAGGGCGATTGCTCCTTCATTGCTTCGCATTGCCCCATCGTTATTTTCACGATTTTGTGCATTTTTATTACAAATATTAACAAATTAATCATTTCGCAAGTGACGATCACCGCCACCTATCGGCCGCCTATCGTAATCACATGGCTTTGCAGCAGAAATGGCGGAAATATTCAAACGAAACGTAAAGCCTATCATGCCCATTCTACACCTAGGGATGATCCTATTTGTGGCTCATCCGATACTCCCTTCTATACCTAAAGCTAATCCTACTTGCAGCTTATCCGAGGGAGTAGTATAAAGTGTAAAAGGTTTACACTTTGGTTGGTTTCCAATCGTACCAAAGTACAACTACAGTGTACCCTTTTACACTTTATATACTTCCTCGGATAAGCTGTAAGTAGGATTAGCTTTAGGTATAGAAGGGAGTATCGGATGAGCCACAAGTAGGATCATCCCTAGGTGTAGAATGGGCATCACACAATAGGAAAGCACAGGCAATAGGAATAGGGAATAACACAGGCAACAGAAATAACTTAATTCCAACTTACCAGAAACCGTGCATCGACGCACAATGGAATATGGAATAGGCAATAGGAACAGAATATCCAACGCGTTGGATTTCTGTTCCCTATTCCCTGTGCCTGACCTACCTGACCAATCACAGTGGAGACTGGGACAGACACGTAGTTTTAAAATGCAGATGATTGGACAGCACGCCTATTGCCAACGAATCATTGTGTCTTGGCATTACATAGATTTCTATTCCCTATTCCTATTCCCTATTCCTATTGCCTGTGCTTTCCTATTGTGTGATAGGCTTAACAGTTCTTTCGTTTACAACTAATCTCAAAGAGTTTAATCGACATTTCCCATTGATTTTTGCCTAGAATAATTGTTCTTTGATTGCTCTATTGAAATGTTCAATAGCTGCATGCGTGAACAGCGTGCGCCGCGATCCCGTCGTCGGTAAAGTGCATAGACATAGTACTATGGTAAAGTGGAACGCCGTCCGTTCCCGCCGCAGCCGAGAGCGGGCATCGTCGGCAGAAGGGCGAGGGGAGAGGAACCGAAGTATCTCGCGAAGCGGCGGACCCTCGCCGCGCTCTCTTCACTCGTGTTGTGGCGCCGACGAGGTGCACGCGGACCGTTCCCGTTGTCCATCGGTCGTCAGTGCCGGCACAGGTGGTGGGTGTACGCACACGGAACGTCTCGGTTCTCTTCCGGTAGTCACCGAGGCGCGCAGAGGCAGAAGAGGAAGTACTTGAGTCGTCGAGTTCTCTCCACGCGCAGCGAGCACCAGTCATGGGCGGTGAGTGCGCCCGCCGGTCCTGAGCGAGATTCGGGATGGATGCCCGGTCGCGCGCACGCGGCTCCGCTCGCCGGCCGATAACGTCGCTCGCCGGTCTTGACCCGATAACCTTCGTGCCTGCTCGACGGGCGTCTCCGCTCCCCGCGATCTCCGTCGTCGCCGCGATGCGACCGGCGTCGCCGGAGCGGATCGATTCACGTGCGACGCGGACGTTACCGGCCTCGCGCCGATTGTTGTCGTGTTTTTTTCCTCCTTTTCGCGCAGACGGGATTCGCCCCCGGCACCGGTGAGCCGCGCGCGGCTGCGAAGTCGACCTCGCGGCGGCGGCGGCAGCGAGTTCGAGAGTCTAAAAAATTATCAAACTTTTCGGACCACGTAGGTTCGAGCATCGAGTCGATCGCTTCTCGATTCCCGGCTCTCCGACACCGCCGTGAACTTGTTCGCGAATCGAATTGCGATCGCTCGCGTCGGGGGTTCAAATTTGAATCTTTTCTTCCCGGGGAAGAATTGACGTTTTACTTCAAAGCGAAAATTCCAATTCAGCTTGCTGTGTGACGCGTAAATTTCTGCAGAGAGTTATCCGCTTGCGAACGACGGTCTTATTTGCCCGATAAAGAGTGATTTTGCTCTGAACACTTGAGACATTAAGATGGAAATAATATAAACTTTATTAGCGTTTAAGACAGCGAGAAAATACTAGAATAATGTATTAGACTTGTTAACTTTAATGCCGAAATCTTGGCACTCCCAAGTATTTAAATACGCGCCGAATGGAAGAGCGATTACTCCGGATTTTCGGGTGGAAGAGGGAGGAGAGGCTTGCGGAAGCCGAAGTATAGAAGTGGCCGCTAACTATAGAAAGGAACGAAGGCGAGGCTCAAAATATAACTGCACACGTTTAATCGGACATATACATACGTTTCTCATGTACATATTTGCACACGCAAGTTCCTCGCGCTTTCTGTATAAAATCTTTCAATGCAACGTCCGCAAATAATCGAGTAATTATCACCCGATTTAAGGAATACGCAGTTTCCATGAAAGATCATCAGCGTCTACTCGCATCTTCCGTCGCGCTAATTGGTCGCATAATTAGCGAGAAAAGAGACGAGGCTCGCGTCGAAGATCTAACTGCGTTCCACGCGCTTCTCTCTCTCTCTCTATCTCTCTCGGAACGCCGGATTCCTCGCGCGCAGGAGAAACAAGATAAGTCAGCGCCGGCAACGTATCTCTGACGTTTATTCCTGGCCGTTCACCGTGAGAGGAGGAGAGAAACTCGGCGGCGCCTTGCCAAGGCGTCAGCGGCAAGCGGCTCCCCGTATTTTTATTCTTCCGCGGAAAATCGCCCGCGTACCTTCGTCGGCGCGGAGCGAGATCTTTGCCGCTCCCTCCCCCCCTCCCCCTCCCGCCCGTCGCGTCGCACGATTGTTCGCCGCAGGTGTGTCCGGACGCGCGCCAGAAAGAATCGCGTCAGAGAGTAGCGACGCGACGCTCGTGACACCGCCGACGATATATTTAGGGTACGCCGCGCGTGTTTTTTCTCTCTCTCTCTCTCTGTCTCTATCTATCTGTTCCGGCGCAGCTTCGCGTTCGCGGGACGTATGTGTGTCTTATTCATTAATGCCTGGGCCTCAGTTTTACTAGGATTCGCATTTTCATAATCCAGGGTGTCCAGTGGTCAGGGAAATCTGGAAAACCGGGAATTGTCAAGGGAATTTTACGCACAGTTGAAAAATGTATGTTAAATTTAACAGATATCACGTGTCCGAAATGGTCCACACAAATTTTTGTGTTATTTAACATAATATGAACGTGTTAAATGGTCACGCTACTCTGTTAATATTTTAACACAAAATAAATGCAAATCTCAAGATAATTTGAAATAAATTTTGTGTAAAATTAATGACTTTTTAATGACAAAATCAGTTTAAAAATGTAATTTTTACATTTTACAGATGTAATAAGTCAAATGACGGTTCGAAATCACTATCACTTACATTATACAGAATAAAGTCAACATTTTATTCTGTAAATTTTAACAAATAAATTTTGTTACCAATAAAATAGAACATATGCATTGTATAAGATTAAAAAATAAGTACACATTGCGTTGTTTTAACATTTCCTTTCAGTTATTTTAATAATTTTACATTTGAGGTCAATTAACACGAGAGCAATATGTCAAATTAACACATGAATGTGTTAAACGTTTGACACAAAAATTTTAACCGGTATTTTTCTTAACAAGAAAACATAAAATATCCAACTGTGTACACACAAACAGCCTGAAGCTCGGTGATTTACATAGGCGAGAAAAATGATGATAAAAGTGCAGGTCCAGGCATTGATGAATAAGACCGTACAGTACGGGCGCATTAATTCGGTTCGGCTGATAATTAGGGATGAACGAGAAGTACCTGATTGTTTAAACGTAGATACATTTTGACAATACGGCGCGCGCACGGAGTGGATCACGTCAGAATAGACCGCGCGGATAATCTCGCGCCGAGACCTTACGATTTTATCACGTGGAAGATACGAGCCCCTGCGATTGTTCTCACCACCGATACCGGCGAGCACGCCGGTCTCGAGTGTCCCCATGACGGCGTATCAATTGACGGCGTGCGTAATTGGGAGCTGCGAGATAAGAGAACGCTTAATATCGATGGCCACCGGCCGTGCGTTGATTACGGGGCGGAGAGGGAGGGGAAAGTATGTATCTTCCACGTAAAATCCAGGTCACTTACATCTTGTAATCCGCGGATTATCGGGTTACCTGCACAACAATGTCCGGCGCGAGAAATAATACGAAGCCGAGTCCCGACAGCGCATTCCGATGCTTGCCGACGATTACTTGTGTTATTCGGAATATGATCGGATTGAGATTCTACTTGGAAGCCGATGCTTTCTCTGAAGAGAGCCCCGCTCATCGATCGAACGGTTGTTTTCATCAAACGAGACTTATTGACTTCGGTGAATCGTTGTTCATTAAAATTGTTGACGAAACCGATGATCTTTGAGTAACAACTAGGTTCGCTGTAAATAAATAGCGAGGGACTCTCGACAATGAAATTGATGAGTAAGGGTCAGTTTTATAAACATCGGTTAACCGGAGATTAATTAATTATCTGTCTCTTCTTAGATAATAAGATAGAAAAAGTTGGGGAGTTAACTGAACTCTCGTTGACAGTTAACCAACGTTTGGGAAATTGGCCCTAAAACGGGAGTTTGAGAGTTGACCGCGGTTGACGATACGCAAGTTAACAATCAAATTGTTCCTCTTGGTAAGTTAACTAATAGTTAAGTCGTACGCATTGTCCTTCCTCTAAATCAGACGCAGATAGCCATAGAACTGAACTATCAGCTTATCAAGAGAATGGAAAAACCGACCCTAAAAAAAGATAACGTCTGAAATGTTCCACGCGAGTGAACTAGTTGCCAGGTTCATTGGACCCTCATCGACGACCGTTTACTATTTTTATGCGATCTCAATCTTGACCTCGTCTACTTTGGATTCAGGTTCTCTGCGCCCTTCGTAATGTTCTCGCCATAAGAACGGACGCGAGAGAACGGCGATTAGCATTTAAATTGAAGAAAGAACCCGCGAGCATTCGAATTGAGGAAAGGGGAAGAAAGGAGATGAAACTTTCAGGCATTCGCGACGTAATTCTTTTATATTCACAGGTTTCCTCGCTCTCCTTCTTGCAGAATATAAATACAGTCGACAATTTCGGACCTGATTTCCGTCGCCTCCCACCGCGGGGAAATTGAACTTGTGCTAATGCTGGAACAAATAGAATAATACGCCGGAGCTATTCGATCAGCTCGCAGATGTTTCCGAATAATCGGCGCGACCGCGGTTTGAAGTCCCTCACGACGCTCACGAGTGCTTGACCTAAGGCAAGATGTACGTATGTATGAATGCATATCGCCACGAATGCGAGACCGGCTCGCTATTATAAGAGCTGGAAGAGCGGCCTGTATAAATATAAACCCATGCCGGCAGTCTGCCTCCTCGGGTTTCGGGTATTCTCGCGCCATAACGTTCTACGTGGAAGACCTCGCCTCTCTCAAAGGGAAGAACAACCCTCTCTCGCGGCTATTAAATATAGCGGGTGTGCTGAGATATTTTTTCGTCTCCCGTTGTAATTTATACGCGAGGGACGGCGTCCGAGGCGCGAAGATAAACTGCCCCGCCACGAAATTAGAGCTGGAGGATTAATTTTCCCACTTGAAAATCAGGCCGAAGTAGTCCCGGCGCGGGGAGTCTTCGGCGCCTTCTTCACCGATTCACCATCGACCGCTCGAGTTCCATTTCTCTATTTTCATCTGGAATATTTTTGTAACCAGAGTACTCTCGTTGAAATTCCTATTCTCGGACAATTTGTGCGACAGTAACTGAACGTACTCTTCGTTCGGTGTTGCGTTTCACGTCGCTCCGTCCGATAGCGAAAGTTAATTTCTGTTAGATAGGTTGGACAGATAGGCGGGCGAGACCCTCCCTCGCGCGATCAATCAAATTAGGCGTGACGGAAGTGCGTGAAAACGTATTGAAAACAGAAGAGCCGAGCGGTAATGAAAGAGAGAGAGAGAGGGAGTGGACGTCGCGTTTTGACGCGACTCCGAATGCTCTTGAGAGCAACGGCGGCCAGAAATACGATCCTCCTCGAGTCCTGACCATCTTCTTTCTCCGCTTCTTCCTCTCTCGCCCTCCACGTCCCCCCGTGACTCATTATTATCCGTCAGCGACGTTTATCCGCTCTGGATTCTAATGCGCTCGCCCACGCGTATTTCGGCATGACGACACTGGGACGACGTTACGCCACGTGCGATCTTATTACCAGCTCCGAATCGGGAACATATTGGGGAACGCCGGCCCTCAGCACGCGCTACCGTTGTTGACGCGTAAAGGCCTGGTCCACGGTGCTAGAACGTAGTCCAAGTTATTGTAGCCGATCAACTTGCAGCTATTCCGTAAAAGCTGCAAGTTGACTGGCTGT